TTTTTCCGAAAATGTAATTCCTATATGATCATCGTCAAATAGCGTTCATACTGCAGTGACACGAACATATACAGTAGGCATGAAAACGTGATTATGTCGTTGCTTTAATGGCAAAATGCATGATACAGTTTTTCTGGAAATTCAGTTTCTATTGGATCTTTGTGAAAATGTGTTCATACAATAAGGATCGCTCAATATATGTGGGAGAACATCATTCTGCCGTTGTAGTTGGAATATAAAAAGTTTGTCCATTGTGTTGCAGTTTCGGGTTTTTCAGCAAATTCTTTTTATAATGTATCTTCGTCAATCACCGTTAAACAGGAAATAAACGTATGTATAGGCAGGAAAACGTGATTTCCCCGTTTTTACTGGACTGTTATGAAACTGGTCCATAGTTGTCAGTAAATTAATTTTCTATTTGATCTTTGCAATGCCACGTATTTGGAGCGAGAATACCTCAACATAGGCATGGAAACATTATTTCGCTATTGTATCTGGAATGTGAAAAGTAAGCCCATTTTCTTTCCAGTGTCGGATTTTTCCCAGTTTCATTTCCTCTTAGATCTTTGTAAATCTGCGCTAATGCAGGGAGGATGTATCAATAAAGGCAGGAAATCGTCATTTTGTTGGTGTAGCTGGAATATGGAAAACTTTGTCAACAAATGAATATCATGTGTCATCCAAATGCTGCTTGGTAAGTGATACCTAAGTAAGTGATAAGTTGGTGATACCTAAATGCTGCTTGAGTAGTAGTGAAGTGTCGGACATTTCTGCAAATTCACTTCCATTTGATGCAAAGTGATCTGCAAAGTGGAGTTCATGCAGCGCGGATTCTCAATATAGGCAGGAAATCGTCATTTCGCTGATGTTGCTGGAACATGAAAAATATGTCGCATGTGATGCAGTGGCTGATTTTCTGCACATTCAATTTTTATTAGATCTATGTAGAATGGCATTACTAGTGATATACTTCATTTTTGGCAGAAGATGAGATTTCACCTCGTATCTTGCATATGAGAAAATTGGTTTGAAGTGATCCAATTTTGGATTTATTTTAAATTTCATTTTCTCTTTGAATTGTCCTTCGGCCACGATGGTTCATCGTTTTCAGGAGAACGAGCCTTCACTTTCTGATCTGGAAAATTTCATTAGCCCGCTGTGTTGCATTAGCATTTATTCTCTGCGAGTTCAGACTTCACAGTTCAGACTATTCGGGTAAACATTTATTCAATGAAGTTGTGTGACAAAATTTAACCTTTTAACTTAAGTTAATTTAAATATTTTTAACCGTTTAATATTTTTTCAACCATAGCCCAAACCTCAACCTCACCTTTCTACCCACTTCTTGTCTCTAAGGAACTTACTAACGTTAGGCCTACTCCTGTTCGACGGACTGTCTTCTTGTCAGGCCTAGACCTAATTTCGTTGAAAAGAAACTCATTCCTCGGTTTAATGACAATTAGGCCTATAAGTATTAATCCCTTGTTTTCGAGATTCCTTTCGAGTACTTGTAACGTTATGACAATCGTCAGCCCTTTCAGTCTCTTGTGGTCTTTTGAGACGTTTAACGTTATACCGATTAGAGCTCTGTTTAGTGTTTCATGAACCATTTCAGTGCGAATATGTTGAACGTTAAACCTATGTAGAGTTCCTAAAACCTTCTCGACTATTTCCGAGGGGAGAATGCCTCTAGGAAGCATGAAATACAAGCTGGGCGCCATCCTGTTAATTTCGAATGAGATATCCGAATGAGATGTCCGAATGAGATATCTCCACATCCCACCAAATCGATCTGCCACTGCTAACCACCCATGAGATGAGCTGAGATTGGTTCATCTCATGAACTCGGCACAAAATTGTCTCCTACATTAAAAGAAAAAACAGAAGACCCAAACATCGATACAAATACCGATGAAGACATGAATATGACAATTCCGGCACGATATCTGGCCACAATAGCGGACTGGACACGCAAAGCTTAAATAAACGACAACTAATTTTTAAAGCAATATGGTGCATTGCAAGCAGCAATTTTCGTCGCCCATAAGTCAATATCTTTCATTTGGTTAGTCTCTTTCCGAACCCAGGGTGGATGAAAAAAAAATTACCGGGGTTAAATTCACATTCTTCAAAATGCGAGATTCAGCGTTATCCCCGGGGAGATGGAGCTTTAAATTTGCTGGAGCGATTCCCTGTTTGTGAGATGACTAAGCATGCCAAATTTCGTTTATATATATATTCTCAGAGGAATACGAGGAGGTTGAATTTTGTTGCTGGAAGGGGTTGAATAACCGCACCTATTGATGCTGCAACACGAATAGTGAAAGCATACACATTAAATCAATATCGATACATCGTATTCTTTTGTAGTAACCCTCGTGTGCTGTTTAAACCGCTAGGATTTTTTTTTTTTGTGTACGGGGCAGTTCCAAAGTTACTGACGTAACACCAGGCTCAAAATTAAATAATGTATGAAGTTATATCTTAAAGATGGTTTGTTCCAGAAGTTCTACATCAATAATGCCTCATAGAGCACAGATACCTGTACCTATTCCGGTCGAAATGTCTCATTTCTCACATGGTTGAAAAAAGGAAGGCAATTTATGTCGTGTTACTGACGTAGGTTAACACAGTTTAGACAACGGTTTTCGTTCTGTTGCTTCCCTTCTAATTTTGTCTGAGTTGGCTTGACCCGAAGCTTCCATATTTTCAGCGAAGAAATCTTAGACCAACGTCTTTATTCATGCAAAATGACATTTTTGCTGCTCAAAAATGAATTGGCTAGGAGAATTTTTCAGCGTTAGTGACGTACATTAGTCAAAAAGCAAAATTCACAAAGAAAGTGGTAAATTAATTGAAATGTAATGGTGTAGGAGTAATGGGAAACTATGCAACTTCAGGTAATTAATTTTAAATGGAGCTCATTTGGTTCAAGTTTAGTACCCAGCAGGAAACCTAGGTTGAATGGGAGTTTTGTAAATCAATTTTTTCCCCACTTTTTCCCCCAATCACTCTGGAACTGCCCTATTCCATCAGGGTTTGTCAAATAGTTCAGCCAATCTGACAGAATGCATTTCGATTAAGAAAAACGGTCGATTCGGTGGAGATAAGACAATATCTGAAATGGTGTAATTCTTCGGGTGTACTCCGGAATGTCGAATGCAGAAACGCAGAAAGGTTGTAATGTCGAAGGGCAAGAATGTAAATGTCATAAAATGTAGCTTATGCTTATTATCGAATGGAATGGATCCAGAATTCTAAAACATCAACGAAGAGGAAATTTCGAAACATGTCGAAAGATGTGATTTTTACAAGAGTGATCATTCTGTGGGAGTGTGTAAACATGACTTAGTTGAACGATGTGGTCCACGATGAAGGGACTGGTGGAGTGCTTCGAACTTTCTGCGGATACAGCTGGAAAGTCATGATGTCACTTTCACCTCCTGCCTTCTCTGCTTTGTCTCTCTCACGAAGCCTTATCTAACAACTTGGCAATGTCCTTGCAGGTAATTTAACTCTTTAAATGAGACTGTGGATCCATCGATGAAGCCATTCCATGGGCTTCTATGTAAGTGCCACGTGTCACGTGTGTATTCTTTCCATGTACATCATCTGGCTTCGGCATTCAATTCCCTCCTTCTCCGACCTTGGTCTGTAATGAACTCAAATGTGACATTTGTCGGATCTCAGAAAGGCAAGAAAATGCTAGTCCTTCACGGATAGCTCTTCGAGAGAGGGAGAAGGGAGAGAGGGAGAAATTTTACTAGAGATATCAGGACCAGCTCTTTCAAAGTTCGTGCCATCACACAAGGCTGATAAAGGAACCTTCCTGTCATCATCATAATCATGCTTTTCCCCATGCTCCCATCATCTGATGACTGCAAGTGCTTCACCTTATGAGTGTGTTAGAAGTCCCTTTCGACATTTACTCGATCGATCTGTTCTCTTATCGATATTTATGTATTGATAGACATGGTCTCCATCACATTTTGGCCGTCGACATTTATCCTTTCGACATTCAGAAGCGCACCTAATTTTTTCTCTACAAACAAGCAGATAGGTCGCTTGAAATGTAATTAAACAATACCTCGTGTGCATCTGACACGATAGAGTTGCCTCAAGACAGGCGAATATTGAATGAAATTAGAGTTTCAATAGAAATAATATATTGTTATGTTTTGAGTGAATAAATATATTAACTGGAAGACATGTTCTGATCTAAGCATCTATCCTATTAATGAGCGCTAATGTCTGTGCGAGGGTGCTCCGGTGGGACCCCTGACCCTGAAACTAAGATTTTTTAAGCATAAAAATCGTATAGGATTCCTATAGGATTCTTATGGGAATCCTATATGAATTCTTAAGGATCCTATAAGATCCTATAGGATTTTTCCTTATGGGATGGCGTTATTTTATGCTTCATCGTGGGCAGGAGAACGATAATTCATATTCCCAGATAGCATAGAAAAAAATTAGCCCCATTTGATACAATTTCAGAGCAAGATCTATTTCCATGTTATTCTGAATCCAGTTTTAAAGTATCCAGTCTTTTGGGATTCCCCCAATGACCATATAAAATTTGAACGCGACGGTAAGAAATCCTTTCATGGACCAGTATTGTTTTTTTGTTCGACTTAATTGCCACGGTTCTCATAGTTATCCATGAGGTAACTGACTATGTCTACATTACTTTCTGAATATGATTTCCCTTCCTCTCATCATTATTTCCTTATCACCAGTTGAGAAGTTGTATTTCTCTGAGCTGCATCGTATCGAAAGAGTTTGGAGTCTCTTCTCTCCCAGGGCGCCTCGCCTTTTGTTTTGCATTTTCGTTTTGCATTAGCGATTCCATAGTCTTCTCTTCTATAACGGTATAACGGTTCGTAGAACCCTTCGCTTGGGCGTGCACCCTTTGTCTTATTGAATTTTTATTCTTTCCTAATGATGATTTTATGCAAGAACCGGTTGGTGCAGTCTCCCGAGTCTAATTCCATCTCGAATATGTAAATCCATGAATGCCTTTATTTCTAACAGACGACAGACGGACGACAAAAAAATCGCTTCTACGGCTACAAATAGAAAAAAGAAACAGAACACTAGAATCGATATAAATTTCTCCGGACGTCGATCAGACGGGAACGAACACCACGAGACACGAAAACACCGAGCTAGGCAATGGAACGATGGAGCTTTGGCATTATAATAATTAATTGCGTCTTCCTCTCCACGAGGTCATTTGCACGTATAGACGTCCGTCTTGGTCGTGCATTTCTTGCATGTCACGTAGCAACACCAGTGGAACTTGCACGCACATTTCTCCACGTGTATCACCACCTGGACGACATGATTATTCAATCAGACTTGGAAAGATCCATTCGAAATCGTCTCATGATTATTTGGCAATGCTTCGAAGTGCATCTCCATCAGGAGAAATCGATTAGGTTGGTGTCTCGAAGAAAGTGGTTTTTTTTTTCTCCAATCACGAAGGTTTCAGGAGTCTGTGAGACCCGTGGAACGAGTACTGGGATTCGCAGATTCCCCTACCTTAAAATAAGCTCACACTTGCTACATTCGTGCATTAACCTTTACCGTCCGAATGACGGATCTATCCATATCGTACACCGGATATATCGATCATACAGATAAATATAATTTTTCGGATAAATAGCAAAGATCGTACAGATAAATAGACGCGAAGAGATGAATCTTTAAACAAGCAGTTTTCCTTGCAATTAAACCCCCAATTTCAATGCCGATCGGGGGGAAAAAAAACTAGCATTTTGAATCCGTACGCTTAAGGTTAAATTTTTCTGAGCACTATTGAAGCATTTTCTGATTTCCGGAAGTTAGAGGTATGACGAACGTTTTTTCAAATTGTTTCCTCGACGGATACTTTGTTTCAGAATGAAAGTGGATAACCTCCTTTCTTCACTTCCTGAGCCGTGGCAAACATCTGCTTTACCTCTGGATTAGAGGTGAGAAAGTTATTAGGTATGAACTAAAACAAAACTAGATAGAGACATTCGGAATCCTAATAGATCAAGGAAGAATCCAGAGAACAACTTACATTTACAGAGGTCGTAAATCTTTTGAGGGCAATAAGTCTCACTTTCGGTCGCTCTGAGGCCTTTAAAATTTGTATCAATTGCATGTATGACAAAAAGGACTACTATTTACTTTTACTCACTAATTCGTTACCTATACCAATGTCTAAGGTCTTCGCAATTCCTATTTGTAGACCTGTTTCTGTTTCAGAAAAACTCAGACACACTTGCATATATGTATATGCAGTTTATCGTAACCCAACTCTGCCCATCCAGGCATGAAATTGGCCCGAAAATATCGGACATCCTTCATCCGCTAAGGCTACATGAAGTTTTCGGGGAAAAGAGGTTCCCTCAAATTTCAGCCGTGCAGGCTGAAGTTTTAGAGTATTTTCTCTTATCATTTTGCCGATGCAGGGAGAGATGCAGTGCCAAGCGCATACCTGGGTATTATAACCCCTGCCGCAGCACAGAACCTGGCACGAGTCAGGTCGAGAGGCATCGTTGGTCTTATTGCAGACCCGACCGGAGGTCCCGGGGATCCCCCGTTTCACGTCTCGTCGACAGTAGTCCGGGCTCTTGCGGAGGTGGATGAGGTCCCCGCGCGGCAAGGCGCCACGGGTCCTACGCCCACCGTGGCCGTGCCTCTTCGCCGCCGGCATCAGCACGGACTCCAGGGAACGGAGACGGGTTTCTTCTTCTTCCTCTGCAAGCTCTTTCCTTCTCGCCACCTTCATCGACACGAACGATCACCTTCATTGACCTTGAATATTCACTATCGTTGACCTAGAGTACTCACCTCTATTGGTAGCACGTCAACATCATATTGCATACGTGCTCGAGCAAGAGCAATATCTAAGATACCTTTCCTAGACCTGCGTAGTTGACAGAATAATAAATTATTGACGTATAAAACGGACAGATCCAATGGGCTGTCAGTGGGCTTCCACATCAAAATACTGTACACAAGGAGAGAGGATAAATAAGGAGCCCTGACAGTCGAAATCAAAATCGAAGTCAACATCTTTTGCTTTGGTATGTTCATCACGTTTTTATCTCACCTCGACAACAATCAGGCCATAAGGACATGTCGAACGGGGAAAAAACTGCTCCACTTTTTCCTCAGAATGAGCATTGGAAACCTTGAAGAATTAAGGAATTGAAAAATCGTTCACTTCCTCATCTCTCTACCGATTTTCCCACAGTTTAAACCCTAATGTGGACAGAAAGTGATACTTGAGGGAAAAATAAGTGAGAAGTACTGATATATCTCTACGTGGACTTCTCCATTTCCGCGTATTAATGTATCCTTGCCCGTGGAAACCTGAATATGATGGATGAAATCACGCCGTCTTCTATATCTTTCAATCGGGGATTTTTCCACTGACACCGCTCTCAGGAAATGATGAATTGTGTGTACATTTATTCCCATAGCCATCCATTGTTTCGATATTCTTAACGTAGCGTGCGTCACGATGTGAGTAAAATTACACTTCCTCCGGGCTAACGGTTTCCTCTGGAACACGGATGAGTATCAACCTTTAGGCTACAGGTCAGCATAAAAGTTTAACGGACGGTAAAAATATGTTCTAAAATATAGGACATTTTGAATGTCACCTGTTTGGTACGTGATTCACCATTTCAACATAAACATCCGTTAGAACGGTGACGGATGGCCTCGGCCAACAATCGCCGACAGAATTTCCTTGTAAAAGCCAAGGTCCAATCCATGCGATATGATTATGTACAATCGCGTGCATAATAGTTTCCCACTCCCATTTTGCAACGCTAAAGGTGAAAGGAGGATTCCCTGTCATGTTCGGTGAATGAGCACCTCCGTGTGATAAGAATGTCGCGATAATCGCTCCATGAATGTCGCGAGAATCGTTCCGTGCCCACTGATTCCGTGATGCGACTGCGAGATGAAGTTGTGACTTACAGTAACTAAGGAAGATGCCCTGTTGATGCCGCCCTGTTTCATGTAGGCATTCTTCAGCACGCAAGGTTCACTCGAGGTGATCGATGAGGTTGTGGAACGAGCGGAACTTGAATCATGGACCTGTTCGAGCCACTTTTCGTCGAAAATATGGGAAGTTCGTGTATTACTATGGATTCTCGTCTATTGCCAAAATTGAGTGTTCGGCTGTGGTTTCCCTTTGCTTTTTTCGTTAATTCCGTTGACGCTAGATGATTCTGAAAGAAAATCTGATCTGAAAATACACAAAACGAGTCTCGTTTATCAGTTCGTTATCCCCTTTCCCGGAACGATGCCTTCCATCCGTTGCGGCGTCGAAAGAGGAGAGGTTGCAGGATGCATTTCACTTCCGAGCTTTTCTTCGAAGATCCGTAATCCTCGTAAAGGAATGGAAAATTACCCTTGCTCTTTTTCTTTCCAAATGGCGCTCGTTTCCTTCTTTTCCTGGTCGAATGGGATCGTTTCTTCTTTCGTTGGATAGTTGTCGACCTTGCAGAGCTATTCCAGGCTCTTCATTAACAAGCAATTACGGGGCAAAACCAGAATCATGGTCACCGGCTTAGTAGCATCAAAGATACTATTATGGATACGATTGTTTCGCTTCTTTTTCATAGCTTGGTAATTGGGTTTAAGGGTTGCCTTTCGCGGCGTTTTCATATATATATATATATATATATATATATGACAATGAAGCTTCGGGCTCTACCACTATTTTACTATTTTCTAAGGGTAAAGGAAACATCAGTACCTGGATGGCCGATTCGTATTTCTTTTTGAGGTATTTTCCGACATCGGCGAAGGGGGGCAGCGCTCTCCAGCACGTCTTGAGCTCGCAGGAGCCGGACACACCGTGACAGCGACAGCGCATCTTCATCAACGACGTCACCGCCTTTCGCCCCAAACACACAACGGAAGCCCCGTCATTACGCCCGTCCGCATGGGGACCGCGGCATGATGAATGGTACCTGGTACGAGACGTACTTCTCTGCCGGCGTCGTTGTTATGGAGATTCATGACGGCTCGAGGGGACGTGTACCCCTTCTTCTTTCGTTTCTTTTCCAGTCGCTCCTTCTCGCTCGCATCGACGAAACTCTCCGCCAACTCCACCCCGTACTCGATGTCGTCACTGCACCCATTCATTCACAAAGCTCATGTCAACCCGAAGGCACGACCTCCAATTCACAAATCTTTCCGAAAAAAGGATAATTAAATGATTCAAACCACGAATCAAGGAATAAATTCCATTGTGCCACTTGTAGCGGTGCAGCAAATGGCTCTAGTAGCATCACCTCCAATGAGCATTTAAACTCTACAGCATACAATTTCTGATTTCGAGTCATGATCACAGTTATTATGCTCATTCATCATTCGAACACAAATCATCCATCCAACTCAGATTACAGAGATTCGATTTGCCCACATGATACAGGTGAAATCCAAGGAATTCGGATGTAACTTGGCTTTGATAGCTTCATTTTATCACTGTCTGACTAAGCAGAAGTCCCTGGACCAATCAGAAATACCCAGAATACCGAGTGTTTCCCCAGTCCGAAAGAGAACATCGCAAGAAAGCACCTTAGAAAGCGAGGCTTTACCTGCATCCTCCCCACTTCCATCCTTGTGGAGTGGAGTGGCCGCGCCTGGAGGAATCGCAGGAGCAATCCGTGAGGTTCCCGGAACTGCATGCCTCCGTGATTGCATGCACCACGCCGGCACTCGTCACGGCGTAGATGAACGCCGTTTCTTTGCTGCCTGGAGAAGACAAAGAAAACAATATATGCGTGAGAGTACAATCAGCGATATCGCTGCGTTTCAGGGAAGAAAAATTCGAGGCGACTGCAATGGAATTGAGGTGTGGGAAGACGAAGAAAGGAATTGCCGGAAATAGCTTCATTAACGACATGGCAAAAGATAAAAAAAAAGGAAAGAAAGAGGGTGATGGGGAGGAAGTTACTCTTCGGGAAGAGATCACGTCCCTCTGGGAATCGATATAAAGGGAAGCTGCTCAGGGTGTCTTATCTGGAGTGAATCTGCTTTCGATTCACATACACACCCGTCCTGGAAATTCCATTATCGGGATAGGGGGGGGAGGGGAAGAGAAAGAAAGTATACGATACCGGCACCCCTTTTACGGATTATACGACCAGGGCATTCCAACGAAACGTGTTCTATTCATCTCATCGAAGGGGCTTTCACTCATCCCCGAAAAAGGTGGGGAGTTTTTTGAGGTCAATGTCCAAAAAAAAAAGAGGACAGGTGAAGAAGAGTGCAGATGTGGCTGGATCCGTCGAGATCGCGATATAAACAGAACCATAAGGAAGGTCTTTGACATACTCAGCCCAAACAAGACGTCGTCTGCCAGAAAGATCCTCCTTCATAGAACAGGGGAATACTTGCGGTTGTATATGAAGGACCAGATGGAGAGAGAGAAAGAGAAAGAGGACTTGCAGAGCCTCGTGCCCGTGGCAGGACTCCTACCATTCCGAAATGATTTATTTTCCTCATCTCTTTCCCGGATTTCCAAGAAATTTCAATGAAGGGGCTGCCATTATCTGGGATACGGAGAAAGGGGAACCTGGACCCGATCCAAAAGTTTCCGCCATTTGGGATGGATTCGTTTCGCTCTGTGATTCCAAAATTTTTATCCACCGAAGTGGGACGTGGTTTGTGCTATTTTAAGGGGGAGGAAAGGGGGGGGGGGAAGGGGGGGGGGGGGGGGCAAAGGTTTTTTCCACTTTTTCCAAGGAAACAAGCTTGGCTCTAATTGGCTCGTTAGCGTCCGCAAATCCATCCACGCCTCTGCCTTTATTTGCTATTCTTCCTTTACTCTCTTGTTCTCCGAGGACATCCGGAGGAAGAAAGGAGAAGAAAAATATCGAAGAAATCACCTCGTTTCATGATGTAGCCGAAGATGTCGAAGTGATCCCTTCTCGTGCTGCAGTTCCATCTCTCGTAGCGGAACTGCTCCTGGCATTCCCGGATGCCCCGACGCGCGCCCTCAGAGACGCTCTCGATCGCCCATGGGTGACTTTCGCACAACTTCACCTGCAAGTCAAGAAATTTTTAAAGACACGTTTTGGCTTTGTTCAGACGGTCACTATGCTTCTAATCTCTGTTCACAATGCCGGAAATCAGAATCGAGAGACTTTATTGCAGAGTTCCAAGCCAGTGGAAGTAATTCTTGCACCAGGACAGAATCCTATTGATACCTTAGGACAAGTGCCATGCCAGCCTAAGGGAGTTTAAGGGTGGATTTTTGTATTTTTCCGGAAAATAAAGCTGCATTATCAGATAGTGCTCTGTAAAAATATCCGCCCTAAAACGTTGTCCCCCATTTCCCCATGCGATAATCCTCTGTACGAAAATCTATATTAATGAAACCTTCAATCGCATAAAATGAAAATTCTTGCTTTGCAAGCATACGACCCGTGGAATGGCTCCTTGTAGCTGCTGCAGAAAGGTAATATCGAATCCTTCTTTAAGATTCGATTTTAAGATTTTTTAAATAAAAAAAATTAGATTCCATTTTTACAACAAAACATTCACATTTCCCCTTTCAGATCGTCAAACGAGTGATTATTGCTCTTAATATGCTTCATCTTTCTGATTGCAAGTGAGGTTCAGACGTGTCTTTACCGCCCCTGTGTGACGCACAGAGCAATCATACTTTTCATATTTCTTACTTTTGGATCATGGTAGTACATGGAAAAGTTTTCAGAAATTTTTTAAATGGACTTTTTGACTCTCCCGCAGGGAAAGAGTGTTTTGTTTTTGTTTTTTTTTACCAATGAAAAAATTCCGAGTATCGTGAAATCGAGAACGGAAGTACGAATAAGCTTCACGCCCCAGGATAAGGCATTCAAGCGGCGCGAACGGTTCGCAAAAAAAAAGAACAAGACCTTTTTGTCAGGGGTGACCCGAAGGTTAGGTCCATCATTATCATCAGCTGATGAGACGAACTTGGCGAAAATTGCCTCAACATAAGAGGCATTAGGCTCACGAATTACCGCTCTCTTCTACAGGATTTTCTCTTTCCTCGACCGACCTTGACCTATTGATGGGCGAAATGACCTTGGGCCGTCCCTGATGACCTGCCCTTTTTTTAAAGCGTTTTCTTATTAGTAGAATTTCATGAAATGATGTGGCATCAGCACACCAAGCGTTTCTTACGCCCAGAACCAGTCTAGGAACTTTTTGAATGGATTTTGTTTCGCTCTCGATTCGATTCAAGAAAGTCTAAAATATGATTTTTTTTTTCTTAGGTCGGAGCTTCTTTACTGAAAGAGCTTCAGTTACAGTGGGGGGGGGGGGGCTTTGTTGCAGGCTTTGTAGAGGTTAGGTTCCCGTGGAATTGCACGGCTTCCCGGAGAACACAGTTGAGTTTTTTCCCCGCAATTTTTCTCGGGAATATTTTTCAGAAAGCAAAACTGCTTTCTTTCGACAAAAATGAAGGTTTCCGAAAGCATTTCCAAAGGATGAAGGTAAAATATACGTACTCTCGTTGAGTTGCCGAGGTAAAAAACTTTACAGACGCATTCAAGGTTCTTGTAAAGGAACCACCCAATGCTCTTTCACCGCAACTGCGAAAATGACTCTTGAAAGCAGAAGAAATTCACAGAGACGTTGATAAGCCTATAGGATTTCGTACCACAACAGCAAGATAGAAGTAGATGTGCGTAGGGGGGCGGGGGGAAGGGGAAGGGGAAGGGGGGAAGTGGGGCGGGGGTGGATTGTGATCGGATATGCAAAGGTAAACATAGGGAAAAGGGTGTAAATTGGGTACTTCTGGTGTTCATTACACTGAAGGCAAGATGCCAAAGTCCACAGCTCAGTAACATGCCGGATTGATTACGTGTTACAAAATGAAACGAGATCAGACTCTCCTGAGACCATATTATCCACAGGTGGTGCGGAAACTCTTTGCTCGATTCGAAGAAATTGGGAATGTCGGTGGTGGATGTCGAAGTGGTTGGATCACTTCAGACGAGGTGCGCTGAGGTGTACTGCTGTCAAGTACTGGTTTGGCTATTCGCGAATTTGTTGTCTTGAGGGGCGATATGCTAAACGAGTTAAATTTCTCGTAATTGTATCATTTATGCTCATTTTTCAGCTTTTACCTTTGCATTTCTGACTGTAGCCGCCCGACCATACTATGTCCACCGTCTTCATGCATGCAATACTTAATATGCCCATCAACCTCTGTGAAATATCTGCATTCGGCAGTCCTTTCCACACCTATAGCCAAAAAAACGTTGGGTGGTTTCTTCATGACATTCCTGTATTTTCATGCAATCAAAACTCCATCTGTCATGACAGACATTAGACAGATTCTGATGTTCCGAATGCGAATTGAAGTTGATGTTGGGATCCCATTTCGTATCGATTCGATGCAAAATCGCATTGTGAATAATCCCTTTACCGAGAAGGTATTTAATGGTCAGTTCCATGAAATCACCATTCGTGAAATTAATAATAATGGTACGACCTCGTCGGACTGCGCGGCTCCCGTATTCTTTTCGCACGAGATTCGACCTTAGCTGCTGCGATCCAATGGTCTTTCGTCATTTCATCTTCCACGCAGGTTTGAAAAGGCACACCTGAAAAGGTCGAGCACGACTATATGCATGTTGAATCGTGATGAGCCTTCGGCGGTCCGAGATACCCTTGGATTTTAACATGCGAGAAGAGGACAGCATGCCCTCGCATCGCAGACCTTTGCATGATTGTAGTTGCTTGTCAAAGTCTGGTCCTTTAACCTCAGCCCTTTAACCTCAGTCCTTAAACCGAAATGGGGGAGGGGGAGGGAACTGTCTTACGAACATTTTCCCGCCATGTTTTGATACCTATTATTTTCTTTGTGTCTTTCAATTTCTGGTCTAACTTTACAGTTTGAACTTTGATCCTCAACGTGAAACTCACTTCTTAGAATTGTTTCGTGTTCCATTCATTCAACCCTTGACAAGACATACAGATCCGTCTCTGGCACCATTTATCCTCAGCAAAACATGACATTCTGACAATGAGCAACTGCCCTTGACCCATAAAACTTGACGGAACACCGACCCATGCACATAAGTTGGATTTGAGTGAAAATTAGCCCTCTCATCCACTCCGTGCTGTTGTAACCTGACACCTGTCAAATTTTACTCCAAGAGGCCATGCATGTAGGCATCACGAGACGAGTTTTTTGATGGATTAAGTGAAAAGCACGATTTAGAGGGAGCAAACGAATTGAACTTCTCTCACGCGTTTTCACATCGAGATGGAATCATCGATGGAGCCAATATGGCCGCGAGCAAACTCTCTATTAATACCTTTTTACGATTTGACGCTGCAATCCCGGAATGGAATCTCTCTGTCGCCACCCCCAATCCTATCCTCTTGGGGCTTCTTAAGTTGGCTCTTCGATACTCCTCAAAGAGACTTGAGACGGAGATTAAGACGGATCAGCTCCCTCGCATCGATTCCCTCTCTTTGTCTCTCTCTAAAAAGCGTGAAAGTGTCGTCGAGGCCTGTCTTCCCCAAGAGAGGTATCGAATGTGAAGAGAGTGGACCTGTCCAGTTCCTGTTCCAATCCCAGTTTTTTTCTTTCTTTTTCTTCTTCTTTTCTCTTAGTAGTTTCTACACGGATCAGAGCGGGGAATTTCTATATCCGATGGGGGAGTCCAATAGTGTGTCGTACGAGGAAGCCAAAGTCGAATGGATTTTCTTGCGAGTGGAGGAACCTGGGATTTTTGCTGAGAGTGATCCTGACTGCGTGAGAACCTTAATTAATTGCGCTTGAATTGAATAGGACCACCTGGGATCCTCCGTAGAATACACTCCTTTCACGAGAAACCTCTTCATTTCGAAACGCGATTCTTCCTTAGAGGAACCCGATGACGAGTTTCATTTCTTTCCCCTGCGGAAAACTAGTCTCTTTTCAACAGGTCGGCAGGTATAGTTGGGTAAGTCGCCTGCATGGTCGGCAGGTCGACTGTATGGTCGGCAGGTCGCCTGTACGGTCGGCAGATCCTAATTAAGCACCTAGGCATTCGATTAGGACCTGTCGATCGTGCGGGCGCGAGCTGTGGACCTCCCACCCAATACTGATTCTTGGAGGCATGCCAAAAGAACGAGCCTCCTCGATTACATTATAGCAACCTGACAATGACATAATAGCTGACAGATAATGCGGCAAGGAAATCCTCGCTCAAGGAAGCTTTCAGAGCCAGTTCAGACTCGTGTTCATAAACCTCCCTCCGTGGTCAGACGACCGGTCGATGGATAAAAGGCAAGGATTTAACGCCGTTCGAAAGGAGCACGGTTGCGGGTGCGCATCGAGCCGGTGCCACGACAACATAGGTTACCATTTTCTTGGGAAGACGACCGTCGTCCGAGTGTATCGGCAATGACAACACGACTGTAAACTTCCGATCGCGAGGCAAAATTCGGGCTCGAATATTGGAGGCTGGTTATATCAGACCATCGGACGGTTGGTGAATGCTTTTGATACCTGGCAACCCTTAACAGTGTCTACTCGTACCATCCGTATCATACGACAAGCGTTGCGACGGATCGACTGCGGCAGACAGGCAAAGTTGTGGAAAAACCTGATTCCGAAAGCAAAAAAAAATGAAGCACGGCTATAGTGGCGCCTCGAACGACATCGGATCATCGACGATCGGAAGCAAGCGGTGAGGTCCCATGAGACACGGTTCACCCTGTTCTGCACTAACGGACGGGTTCACGCATGGAATAAACCTCAGAAGCCCTCGACCCGACGCGTGTGATGGGGACGGTTCGGGCCGCCGGCGGTGGTGTCACGGTGTGGGGAATGCTCTCGTGACATTGCCTCAGTTATGGTCATTCTAAAGGGCCGAACCGACGAACTATATTTAAGTGTCGTTGCCGATCGGATGCACCCCACAGTGAAGCATTTCCACTCCGATGATGATGGCTACTTCCGGGACGATAATGCGACCATTCACCGAGCGCACATCGTGCATGGTTAGAGGAACACGAGAGGGACTTGAGGCATGGCCGGCACGATCCCCGGGTCTCGA